TGCATGGGCTAGCATGTCCAACTAACAGAACTGTCCCCTCCGCAAAACCACTATGTGACGAGCCGCATCGTTCACGAGCATCTTGCAGCCACGCTAGCCAAACGGAATTTGATTTGAGTTCAGGTATGATTTTGCGAGACATACCTCTGTTGGTATACGAGCAGTCCCGAACAATCTACTGTACTGATCCATATCTAGTGCGCAACCACGTACGGCATCGGGGTCAAGTAGACCTTGGCGGAGATCATGAATAAAGCCTAATGACGATATGATAAGAGCCGTAGCGCGGGGTAGCTGAGAGCCCCGATCCGGAGTAGGATCATTCCTGCCGGCGGTGGATTTAAGGAGGGTTTTAGAAGTCAAATGAAAATCACATGAAACGCACTCGAGGACAAAAAACGGGTTGAGAGCAAGTACTACAGGATCGCTGTGCGAGAGATAACTTTCATACCTACCCACCATAAGGATGAGATACCCATGATTAGAAGAAGTATCTAAAGGTAAAATAAGAGAAGCTCACCAGAAGTCCTCGATATAACTGCGAGCAACGAAAGGGTTGCAAGACAAGATCCGGAAAGCCATGATGAAGCAGTTCGAATAGCGATGGACAAAACACACCTTGCTTTCTCTTGAGCCCACTCATTCAATCTCCCCTGTAGAGCGGGACCTTCGCCATCTAAGAAAGTTCGAACAGCATGTTGAGTGGCAGCATGTTCCTTGTCGTCCTGGAGACCTCGAAGAGCGGTCAAGTAGCGCATGCAAGTGTCATCGAGAGATGGAACTGGAAGCTTCGGCAGGGTATGCTGGTTCGAAAAGGTGCGTCCAGGAGGCGGGGTAGTTGTGCGGAAGGTTGTTGTTGGAGTTGCCATCGTATTGGCAGTGGCCACGCAGAGAGAAGGAGAGTAGTAGGCACCGCGCTAATTAGTCATTTGACACTTTGTAGTTTCTCGAGTGAACAATATGACAGATTAGGCTTTGATTCCAGATCTGATTCCTGAAAGCGCGGAGCTACATAGCTGGAACATCCTGGTGACCCAGGATCAACATGAGCTAAGCGTTACTTACTGTCACTGATTCTCTTGGCTAGGATTCTACTCGGCCGGGACTTACAGCGGCCATTCTGATTCAACTCAACCTCGCATGTGTGCGCTCAAACTCCATCTCATACATATACGGGTACCTTAGCGCTTGAGCGATTCAGTCACATACCCAAATCACAGCAAGGTACCGGGTTTTCAACAAGCCAGATACGGATCATTCTGAGCCGTCAGAGTCTGGCCTCAGGATGCCGCACCTCTAATGTGTGGCAACAAGTGGCCCAATCTGTGAGCACAAACTAATTTGGACTACTCTGCTGTCAAACCGAGGTACTGCTCGCACTCATGCAGTCGCCCACATACTTGTTTGACCATGTCATCGCTCACATTTGCCACCGAGAATCTGATCCAACGCTCCCAATCCATCTTCGACTGACCAAGTGACTCGAGTTCAGACCCGACGCTGTCATCGCAGAAGAACTGCATGGGAAGGGCTAAAACGCCGAGTTCTTCCGCAAGTCGCTGGCATAGTGTGATTGCAGGGATCCCAACAAAAGGGTGCCTTACAAAGGCGAAATAACCACCCTGCGATCCGATCGTCCAACCGGGAGGGAGATGTGTGCGGAAGATATTGTGGCGTATTTTGAGCGATTGAGCACTGGCTTGTATTGACTGACGCAATATAGGTAGCAAGCCTGGAGAAGCAAGAGCTAATTGTGGAGGGCGTGGTGCACATATTTGTAGGCAGTCGAGCGTGGTGGTGACGTGTTTCAAGAGGTCGGGTGAGGCTGCAATCAAACCCAGCCGATGTCCAGGGAAGCAGTAAGACTTGGAAAAGGAGAAGAGATGGATGACGTTGAATCTCCATGACCAAGAGGACTTCGACACCTCGGTCTGAAATGGAGAGAAAAGGGTGTGCGGGGGCATAATGTCCACAAAATCCCGGTAAGTCTCATCAAGTACAAGAGCAATCTTGTGTTTCTGTGCGAGCTCGGCGAACTTTGAAACCAAGTCTGGGGAATAAATTGCACCTGTCTGTACGGTGGTTATGAGTTAACGCACGTCAACCAGTAAGGGACGAACTGGGTTATTTGGAGTCACAAGCGCAATTGCTTTTGTCCGCGGGTTGATTAACTTCTCGCAGTCGCTCGTTGAAGGAAGGAAGCCCTCATTAGCGCGAGTATATAGTGGAACTGTTTTGATGCCGAGAAGATTCAAGCTCATTCTGGGCAGGTAATCAGGTAAATGAGAGCAGACTCAGTGAGTAAACTACCATACTGGTGGTTGAAATACCTACTCGACGTCTTTTGAGCGGGACCACAAAGGAGAGGTGACAAACGTACCATGGAACTGGCAGGATAATCTCATCTCCTGGATCAGCAAGACACATCACAGTCGCAACAAATGCCATATTGCACCCAGCCGTGATAGCAATGTCGTCTTGGGTGACATCTATATCTGGTCCGTATACTGTCTTCATCTCCTCCGCAAAGGCAGAACGAAGGGTATGTTCTCCAAGAACATGGCAGTACCCTGATGATCCCGGAGAAGACGATGAGTGTGATAGAGCGTCGAGAAGAACCTTGGATGGAGGAGTTCCTGGAACACCTTGCGACATGTCGAGCAAGGGCCGTGTTTTTGTCGGCTTATACCCTACTCCCCATGATTTTGCGTGCGGGATACTGCGGCATGTCTTCAGTCAGAGAGGTTTTTATGAAGGCTCTTGATGCAAGTACACACGGAGGTGATATTGTGCTCAAAACTCCACGTGACAACCGGAAGGACAACGAAGACGACATTGGCAACGATTTATCGTGTGGCAGAATTCCACCACTGTCCCAAATTTTTGGTGCAATGAATAGGATTCAAGATGTGATGAGACAGGTCAGTCAAGGCGAGCATGGGAAGAACGGTTAATTATAGGGCGTAGCTATTTTGATGCGGTCCTGCCGCGCCTGCCGCGGTCGTGACGCGGTGTGACGCGCATGTAACGCGGCACTGACGAGCCTTGACGCGGCCACTGACGCGCCATTCCTATATGTTCGACATTTGACTTCCAGATCAAGTTGGATGAATTCCTTTGTTATTTTATTTGCCATAGGGACATGTACAACTAGGTACATAAGCCAATGACTATTTTCTTTTCCTCCCTCTCTGGACCCTTCGAGCCTGTGGAACACATCGACGTTTAACGGGCGGACATTCTTCAGCCGGCAGAGAAGGAACTCGGCCTTAACACGGTCCTGGTTGAGAAGCACTGTGGAGATCGTTGCAACAGATTCACGGGTACCAGTAAGGCCGTTACGACCAGCAATTTGTGCCGCAGGGCCAGCAGCAGGATTTTCGAAGAGAATTTGGTCAAATCCGCGGCATGGACGAGGTTTGACGCGGCACTGACGCGCATGTGACGCAGCACTGACGCGGCATGTGCTATGGTTGACGCGGCACTGATAGTAGGCCTTGACGCGGCATAGAGTGTGGATGTTGATCTTAGCACAGAGACTGCGAAGATGTTTGGGAGAACTTGTCGTGGTGTGAGTGGTGCTTGACCCAGCCTAGACGAGGCTTCTGACATGCCATGGTTGGGGCTTGAGTCGCTTGACGTGGTGGTGCAGAGTAGTATGGAGAGTGGCTCGAACTTGATAGGGTGAGGTCGAGGCTTGATGCAGTGAGACAACACTTGACACTGCGTCTGAAAACCAACATAGATGAACGCATTAGAGGTAACACAACAATACAGGACTAACGCGCAAGATGCATACTAGTAGTGTGAACACAGAGGATAAGCACTGTAAATTTGGTGAGAAGTGAATACAGCACTATAGAGCCTGTACGCAGGCAGACACTCATATGTTGATCATTAACGAAGATTCAAAGTGTTTGGAATAACATATGAAGTTGTTTGAACATGATCTGTACCCTAGAATTTGTTACAGGGCCGCGTCAATTTCACCTGGCCCTTAATTATATGCGTAATTAAACTTACCACCCTCCTTCATGGTGCTCCGCTTCATATTCACCAACGCACGGTGATCACACAATCTGATGGACGCTAAAATCTTTGTACTCACAGGCCTAGGCTATTTGATTCTATACCCTAGACAATAACCATGCGGGAGACAAGCACATCTTTGATGTCACTACCCAGTGCTATTGTAATCGGAAAGAAACCCGTCGAACAGGTTCGTTCGAGTCGTAGACCGTCTGATCCTCGGGCGGTGCAATTTTAAAACGCTGTTCAACTAAGAGGATATAAATAAGCAGTGATCACAATCCCCCACTGCCAATACCGTCCACCGTTTCAATGAAGATGTTTGTACGTTTTCATCGTGCGCTCGATCCCTCCGAACTTCTATGATGCGTGTGTGGCTTGCGAGAGACTCGCCACGCACTTGCAGTTCAAAATAGAAGAGGATGCTTTGGAACAAGATGAGTGGGGTGCGCTACCATTTCATTCTACAGACGAGAAGGTGCGAGTGAACTTGTCTAGATAGCATTCATGCGCTCAACAAGTCTCGATCACCACTAGGAAGTCTTGGAATGCGGCAAAGACTGGTTTCAAAACTTGTCGAAGTTTTGCGAGAAGGCGACGGAACTAGGACATGGTGGAAAACCCAATTGGCATCAATAAAATAAACAGCAGTGAGCACGGAGCTCGATGAGGCTATACGCTCAATGTTCAGGTGGTGTCGTAATGCAAATATCTGCATTGTGCGCCTCTCGGATCCCTTGGATGTGGAGTAGATGAAGAACGATGTTTGGTTTATGAGAGCAAGTTAGAGTCACAACATGATGGAGCTTTCGGTTGATTGTATCTCCTAAATTCACGACTGCCCATTTGCTCCAGTGGTCATACGGACTTCTCGCTCAGTTGACAAATATCGTAAGTTCGCGCTGGGAATAATCAGCTATGAGCTAGGTCAGTGACGAGAAAGCTGGTGTGTTTCATCCTCAGAAAGACCATCTCTGTTTGCTACTGGGTCGCACTGTGGAGGCAAAGCAATTGCATAAGGTGAATATGCACAATGTGCTTACTGTACGAACGACCTTCCCTGGTGGGGAAGCTCCGAGTCGAAATCACTTGCTGTAGTATGGTTGTAATGAATGACCGGCGATACCTACATATATTATCTACCAAGAGGTCAATCGGAGTACATCAAGGCACGTTCAAAAATAAACTGGAAGGTGTACTGCATGTGTGTCATGACAAACATTTCAAACGAAAGAAAGTAAAAAAGGGGGTGAGTCGATGTATGGCTAAATGCCTCACTGGAGATGTATTGTGAGGATACACGTAGCATGAACGAGCGCAAAATAACTCGAGACTCGTTCAGAAAACATATATCAACGAATGACGGCTCCAGAGACATCGGAAAACCAAGCATGTTGATCTTTGGGTGATGCCCAATCGGACCCATGTCCTGATCAATAATAATATGAGAAACCAATTTGCAACCGAAAAGCATTTACCAGACAACAAGCAACGGAAGAATTCGCGCACCTCCAAAAAACGTCTGAAAATGCATGCCCTTGATATGGGATGCCTCGTCCTCTCGGAAAATTAGCCCCTTTGCGTGGATCACACATTCGCCGTTAATCCAGAGCTGGAGTTCTCCTAGGACACAAGATTCAGTATTACCCCAGCGATCACTACACCTCACCATCAGCTCTGCCGATATCATTAAGTTGAACACGTTGTGCGATAGTTGTCCAGACACCTGACCCAAAGATCCATGCGCCGATTCCGACTGATATCCCATAATCAGGGTTGGCTTCGGAGCAGGGCGGAACCGCAATAAGTGCATTTGTATTTGTTTCGTTTATAGGTAGATAGGCGTAAATTTCTCCTTGCCCACCACGCCTAGCCAGGCATCAGGAAACAAGTCAGAAAGGGGTGCGTGCTACTTACCTCCACATGAGACGAACATCAAAGCACTTGCAACGGTCGTTCTGCCGTCCACCAGAGCATCTATAGGCAATGTCGCCGATACCACCGTCTGCAATGCATCAATATCTCATTTCAGCACTTGATCGGGGATGAGCGCACATATTCCTGGCAATTTCCCTCCTTTGACCCACTCCCAACCCTTCTCAAACATCACCCGATATCCAAAAACTGCTTCTTTTGCGCCTTCCAACAAGGACACAATTTCTTTGGGCCCACCGAGATAAAATCCAAATCCACCAGGGATTTCCGTTTTTGGACTACAGGAACCCTTGGGGTATCTGGCCTGCCAAGCGAGCTGAGGGTCGTCCGAGGATGGATGCAGAGTGGGTGGTGGGCATACAACCTCGTGAGTCAACGAGCGCGTGATTTTGTGTATCCCAAGAGGAGAATCTGCGAGACGGACTGAGATGACATGATGCTCGTCAATTGATGCAGGAGAGGGCGAAAAAGTCGTGAATCCTAGGTGAAAGCTGCTGATTGGGAATAGTTGTGACCAAGGCGAAAGCATACTCGATGCCGCTCGGTCCTATATGATAATACCGTCGAGATGGCAAGATGTATGAAAAACCTAGTGTGAAAAGAAATAAGAGCAAGATGATAGTCGTAGTACGCGCGCGTAATGAGTGATATGAGTGAAGTTATGTAAATATTTAAACGTGACACAGCGGGAAACTGACACTTTACCACCTTTTGCCGCCAGTGAAATTACATTCGAAAGGTAATCCAGAGTGCTCTGAAACGCTCTAGGCTATGTCTGGAATGGTCTAGTCAGGTCCAGATCTGCTTTTGATTGAAATTCAAGAGGCAAAACGTTGAAACCCCCGATGTGTGACCAACTTTGAGCTAGTTCAAAACCCATTCTAGGGTTAGGGTTTATTCGTTGACTAAGCAAGAACGCGTAGCCGCTTCCGAATTACATACTACTAGTATCATAGTACGACATACTTATTGCTACTTACCGTAGTACAACCAACCAACCAGGTCACTACACTCTGACAACAGGCAAGACTACTTTCCGCAGCCAAATCTTCAAGCACGCAAATTCATATCAAAACCACAGGATATGCTACCACTCTTTGGGGACGAAAGACGTCGCGAGATCAATCTTGGCGGATCGAGCTCGGTCACCACCTCTCAAGCAACTATCTTAAATCAGGCCAGAGCTCGAAGAATCGAGAGGGAAACTGTCCGAAAACGACAAGATAGTGCAGTTACAATCCAGGCTTGGTGGCGTGGCATCACCGACTCCAGAAGGGTCCGCCAGGAACTTCGTGAACTGTTCGCAGGTGATATTACAGGACTCACTGGCCTCCGATGTCTCGTCCTCATCGGACAAGACACCGATTTCCTCGATAAATGGGCTGTGGAGGTCCTTTCTCAAGGTACGCGGCTTCCGTACGACGCCATGCTTCCACCAAATAATCATTCACCTAGGTTCGCTATTCAGCCTCGCCCATGGCCGTGATCGAGAACACTGGCTTGTACTGATGCGACAAGTTTTCTTCCTACTCCTACGCTCTGTTTCTGATCGCCCAAGGTTCTGATACATATTCTCAATCTCTTGACTGAGCTAACCTGATCCAGATCTGAACGCGCTGTCTCATGCCTTCAAGTCTTGTGCACTCTCTTGAACCCAGCATCTGCTACTGAAGCATTGGGATTTTCTGGTAATCAGCTCACTGTGAGCATCACCGAATATGCTGTAAGGCATGACTTGTATCAATACCTTGCTCGTTCAATACAAACCATTGTGAGTTTCCTTGGCCCTATCTTCTCTATATCTTTTATATTGTTCTCAGGGGCCGGAGACAAAGAATGCTCCAACCCTACCTTTCTTTGTGGAACTCATATATCGCCCGCTCAACACATTAGAACGCTCTTCAGAGGCATTTTTGCAGTGCTTTCGGTCTCTCGTCATTCATATACTCACAATCCCTCTTCTCCCAAATCGAATCCCGATCTCGTCACTCACAGCCCTTTCCGCAAAACTTCCTCTATCTTCATTATCAGTCTTGTCGACTTCTATTGCCGAAATTGTCTCCACAATCCCTCTCCAATCCCATGTGCATCTTATAGCCAACCTGTACGCTTTTACCTCCCCAAGATATGCGATTCTACCTCTTCCGTCTTTGAAAACATATCTCCAGCTCATGACCGCTTCGCTGAGCATCCTTCCTGTGCATGTGCTCGATCCTCCATCAGTATCTGATGCCCGCGCTCCCACAATGTCTTGGGCTGACGATGATGATTCGGAATCAGAACAACCACAAGTTGCAGTTGTTACATCTTTTGCACCGACGCCAAGGCTGCCTCCGCTAGATGCTCGGACACAGAAGCGTCTCCAGATCCTTCCGAGTCCTTCGCACTTGAATTCCTTGCTGAAGGCAGCTCAGCATGATCATGGCGCACTTCCCGATCTTGTATCATGGCTTGTCAACTTATGCATCGTATGTCCTACCCGGAAGAGCAAAATACTGAGTACGTTGCTGCTATATGGAGGGGGTGGTCTTGTGCGCGAGATTTACCGTGACTATGTACGGAACTCTCCACTTGGGAAAAATGAAAATCTGTCATCCTTGATGGGTTCGTCTTCGTGCTTCCTGTGATGAATCATACTGATTATAATCAAGACCCCTCGCTAGCATCGGCGTGGCCGCCTCTACTCTTACTCACTGAGCTTTATACTCAATCTCTCTTGACGATGGGTGATGATGAATTTTTCTCCAACTCCCGAACGTCGTTGAGTTTGGACGAACTGGTGGCCTTTTCTCGTGCGCTGTTTAACATCGCATTTACTCTTTACTGGCGGGATGACCAGACGAAGATCCAGGAAGGTGGTGTGCCGGGTCTGAATCTCCGTTGGGTAGGTGTACGAGACAAGATAACGAAATGTCTACAAGCTATTCATGCACGGGAGTAAGTTCGCGCATATAATCGCAGTCGCTCAGTAATTCATACCGACTTGGTATTTTTCAGCTCCCGCAAACCTTTCATGCCTGAGAACCACTGGCATATAAGCTCTCAGATCGACATGAATTCTTTCATAGATGCTGCTGTGTGGGTCGCACTCGTGAATCTATCATCTCTAATCTGTGTTAACTAACGTCTTCACAGATTCGAAGAACAGCAGCTCGACGAGTCCTCTGCGCCGCGGACCTTGACGAAGAGACAGCTCTCACACTTTTCCCCTCGGCTCGGGGTCCTCAACAATATTCCATTCGCTGTCCAATTTGAGACTCGTGTTTTGATTTTCCGGCGCTTCGTAGAAAACGATAAGTGGAACCGCAATAGGGACACACGTGGGCGCATCGATGTATCCATTCGCAGAGGCCATATCGCGCAAGATGGATATGATAGACTGGCCGAAGCAGATCTCAGGGCCCCGATCGCTATAACATTTATCGATCAATTCGGAGAGCCTGAGTGTGTATAAGGCATAAAATTTGTCTAATGTACAGATACTGATGGGTGGTCATTCGTTAGGGCCGGAATTGACGGCGGTGGCGTGTTCAAGGAGTTTTTTACTTCCTTGTGCAAGGAAGTGTTTGACACAGATCGTGGACTATGGCTGGAAACTAAAAGGAATGAGATTTACCCTAATCCCCACTCGTACGCCACAGAACGTATGTTGTTCGCAGATCTATTCTTTGATACTTACACTCACGTTCATATCCGATGCAGCGCACAATCTGAACTGGTATCGCTTCATCGGACGAATTCTAGGCAAGGCACTCTATAAGGGCATCCTCGTCGAGGTCGCATTCGCAGGGTTTTTCCTAGCCAAGGTAATTGCCGTATCATTGATAACAAGCTGTCACGTGATTGATCAACGATACAGTGGCTAGACAAACAAAGTTTTCTGGACGACCTTGCTTCTCTCGATCCTGATTTATACCAGGGTCTCATATTCCTCAAGAACTACACTGGAGATGTGGAAGATCTCGCATTGAACTTCACCGTTGCGATCGAAGGTTGGTCATTACTAAAATCTGCGCTCGGATTATATTTTCTGACGCGGGATGTTACCAGAGTTTGGGGTCGCCAAAGCTGTGGACCTCATACCCGATGGCAGCAATGTCCCGGTGACCCGGGAGAACCGACTGCAATATATCTACCTTACTTCTCACTACAGACTGAGCAAGCAGATCAAGCTCCAGAGCGAGGCATTCTTTGAGGGTCTTTCTGATATGATAGACCCCAAATGGCTTCGGTGTGTTGGGATCAAATTAACTCTGCCTAGATTGTTGATATAGCTCTTTCTAGAATGTTCAATCAGCAGGAACTTCAGATATTGCTAGGTGGCGTGAACGCACCTGTGGATGTGCAGGACTTGAGAACACATACCCAATATGGGGGCTTATATGATAATGACGAACCCACTATACAGACTTTCTGGAAGGTCAGTATTTTCATGGACTGCAAATTGTATTATCGATCGTAACTTTCATCTGTAGGTTTTGGAGGATTTCGATCAGGAACAACGACGGTTGTTCTTGAGATTTGTCACAAGCTGCAGTCGACCGCCACTTCTGTGAGTTCATAGCCTCCACTATTTCTCCTTGCTACTTGCCGTGTCAGGCGCTCATAATTCTCCAGAGGTTTTAAGCAGCTAAACCCTCTCTTCGCCATACGCGATGCAGGGAGTGACGAGCACCGATTACCAACTTCAAGCACCTGCGTGAACCTCCTAAAGGTAAAATGACTTTGTGCTGACATATATAGCGTAACTGACTTGTTACAATCAGCTGCCCAGATATACAAGCGAAACAAAGCTTCGTGACAAGCTCCTACAGGCAATCTCCTCTGGCGCTGGCTTCGATCTCTCATAGTACCCTTCTACAGCCATCATTTTCACCCACTGTATTGTTGTTGCTGTATCACGGATATATACAGCTGTACAGCATCTTGCAAGATGGACTTTACATCTTGAAATATCATCATATTTCTATCAAATTGTTTTTCTTCCTCCAAGGGCGGCATAGATACTGTTTTCTCCTTTATCACCCAGTCTTTCCTCCTTGAAGTAGTTCGATATAAGAAAGGCGACGTCTGTCAAATGTGTCAACTGAAAGTAATTCTTGACTTAAACTTAGTTCGTCATACCAAGCGATTGCTCGAAATTGAGTCGGGGGTCACAGAACGACTTCGTTGAGGTTGACGGTCAGAAGAGCAATTGAATACGGATGTAGTCTGGCACACCTGGTATCTGAGCCCCAGCTGTTCCTCGCTGAGCTCCATGCTTCCCCCAAGACACTCTGTCACGCTGAAGCCTTCGTCATTAAGTTCGCCTGTGAACTCAAGACTGACTCCGCCAAGCCGAGACCCACATGCAGCGTGAATACTGATGCAGGAAGTCAGCTCGCTGATGATAGTCCCAAAGTTACGTGTTTTGAAGCCACTGTTGGAAGTAAGTGTGCTTGGAATGGCTTAGCGCTCACGTTTCACGTCATCAAGGATGTAAACATACTTTCCGTGCATGGGATCACATACCCATGCGACCGGGTGTTGAGAGTGCTTAACGGCTTCAATGTGGCCAGGGAGGTGATCCCCGATCTTGATAGCTTGGTCAAAGGTTGTCGAAAACAGTCGAGAATGAACGCACTTTTCCTGCTCCGTACCTGGTGATGAGTGTCACGCGACCACTCTCTTTGTTTGGATTCACGACTATAAAGAGGCATGCGGTGAGTACGTTCTGTGAGACGTACTCCCAGAATTATACATACTTTGTAGGAGCCTGATTAGCTCTGCACTTTCTAATGAAGGTCCGACCTTGATGCCGATGGGATTGCGGATACCTCGGAAATACTCGATATGGGCGCCATCAAGCTGTCTTGTACGGTCGCCAACCCATATAAAGTGGGCAGAAGTATTGTAGAAGCCCTTTTGCTGCGGAGACGGCCCTGACCGGCCTGACCCAGCGATATTAACTTCCCGTGTCATTGCTTGCTCCCAGTCCAGCATTAACCCTTCGTGGCTGCAGTTTCCAATACCATTAATTTGATCCGCCACACTATGTCATGTCATTAGGGAGCTGACCTCGTGTAGAAATCAATCTCGCCCAGAACACCTCGACCACCACCCCGGTCAAAGGGCGCACTTTCCCTACCTGAGTCAGCGCCTATCGTGTGGCTGAAGTCGAGCGCATCAGAAAGACCTCGAGTGATTTTTTCAAACTCGCTCCTGCGGTAGATACAATGCCCGAAATCAGGGATGTAAGAGCATGTGAGAGGATATACTGACCGTAACGCCGGTGAACGGACATGTGAGAGTGACCAATCCCGCGGGTGATGCAATGAAGCAAATCCGGATGTGAGAAGCCCACGAACGTAATTGAGGGTAGCGGTGGAATGAAAGTAGGCACTGATATGAGGAAGGATGTTCAATGACGATTATAATGGGGTAGTGAAGCACAAACCTAAGGAGTCTCTCAGGATCTGGGGTTCGATCATTAGGATCAAGCCTGCTAAAAGTTTAGTTGTCAATCAAAATAGATTCTTCTGTTGTCGCTACCCATTGACGTTATCACCACTGCAATATGAATTCAAGTTGGAGTTAGATGATGTCTGACTCGATGTCTGAATTAGCCATTGCGCACCGGAAGCTCAAAACCTCTCTATTGTCAATCGTTTCTGTCCCGCTGCTCCTGGGCTTGGCATATTGCCCAGCAATGCGTCCGATGCGTACCTAAATCGCGAAAGCCCGTTGTGAGAATATATGCGCGCTGGCAAACCAATCATGCATTATGGCATGCATCTTCAACGCACCACTGGGAGACGCCCACCCCAAATAAGTATGAGAGAAAACGAAAGTATCAACCCGATCTTTGCTGATATGTTTTGCTTCCAAACGCTTTAGAAGGCTGCAATGAGAATGGAATAGCTCACTTGAGTACACGCGTCAAAACTTTCTGCGCAATCTCCCGCATGGAGCAAGAAGGCCTCGTTCCGTTGCACAGCAGTTATCTGAAAGCGAAGGCGCTCAATCTAGAATACAATCACGGTAATGAATAGCAGCAGATAAAAATACTAAACACCGACTTCTGCGGGCGTTACGAGAGGGGGTAAAGCATTGATTTTTGTCAAGACTCTGATTAATTGAAGGTGTAAATTACGGATGCGTATTGAATTGCACGTGTACAACAGACCTTTGGAGATGTTGTTGGTCAGGGTAATCTACCATCTGATATGTAAATCAAACGTTTCATGATTCATCATCGATTGAGCCTAAACCTGAACGACGGCATTCCCACCTGAGCAGCTGACCTCGATTTCCATGAGGAGGGATACCAGTTCGAGTCTGCCATTGGAGAGATCAATATGCAATCTCTCGTAGCTCGTGCGCAAGGACTCGTGCTCAAGATAATCGATAATCTGGTGTCAGTGCTGGAACAGATCGGATCAGTTCCGAAGTCGACTTCAGACTCAGATTGTTAATTACATAATCACAATTTTAGCAGTTCATGAACTTGGCCTCGTTCCGAGTCGACGGAGGAACAATACCAATTGCTGTGTGGGCTTTCGTTAACGTTAATGGAGTCATCGGTACGTTTAATCAAATCCCTTTGGCATGCGAATGAAACAAGATTTAGTACAGTTTTTCACCCGGCTCCCGGGCCTGCTCTAGGCTGTTAGAGACGGTCCATCATGATAAATCATATCATTGCTAGTTGGTACTTTGGGTTTGCCACTGGTCGTACCATACTACCCGAGGGTGATCTCATTGTGCGCTGTCACCCAAAACGAGATATAACATACGTTTCAACTGCCCACTTTCCGCGGACACAAATCTGTCAGGCAGAAACTTTCTTCAGCATAATCAATTCCAATGGAGTGTTCGCAGGTCCCTCTCCATAATGTATGCGATCTAGATAAGGTTTATAGCGCAACACGCCGCAGCACTGGAAATTCATACATCTTCGGCTTGATAGCTCTCGACATGAACCCCCAGTTGGTTTTGAACTTTGGTTGATACACTTTGCCGGCTAACCCCCCGTGAATGTATGGTTCATCCTGTTGAACCGCACTGGGTATCCGTTTCTCCAATATAAAAGGCATTTCATATTCGTTCATTCGTTACGCAGCATAGCTTGCAATGTCCCTTCTTCTGCGCTCTTCCCTTGTCCTGGTGCAAGCATTCTGCAACCAGATTGCATTTACTCCGCCTAATAAAACGCCAACAAAATGGCGCTATCACACTGAAGAGGCATCCGTGTTACAAATAGCTCCGTTGATCTTCAAGGTAAGCTGGTGATATTGTAGCTTTTGTATCTGATTGAAAAATTGTGTTTTATTTAGGCCCACACCATAATTCTATGGCTGATCGCTGCATATGAAGTGATTTCGACATTCCACTATTTTTGTGGATCGTTTTTCTCAACGCAGCTATCAAGCCACGTCGACTCAGTACTCTGTCCTGCACGTCGCACACAACATTTAGTCACTCCCGTGTTCTTGCTCGGGGTCATGATGGCTGCTCTCGGGATGTTTATCCGCGTGCGCTGTTTCCATGAGCTCGGTCACTTGTTCACCTTCGATCTCACCATGTACCCTGAGCACAAGCTCGTGACATCTGGATTTTACAAATATGTCCGGCACCCAGCCTACACAGGCTCCTTGTTGCTCGTTGCGGGAATTGCCTTCTCGCATTTAACTCCCGGGAGCTGGGTAAACGAATGCGGCATCCTCGGACCTGTCAGCTCCGCATTGTTAGGGGCTGCGTGGTGGGCTTGGGCCTTGTCCGTAGGTGTGAGCCGTGCGTACGCAGAGGATGGTGAGCTCCGTAAACTATCTGCATCAGAGTGGGATGCATATGCCGCGGAAGTGAAGTTCTGGTTTGTACCGGGATTACTGTGAGCCCGTGGCATACGTCATCGGTAGATCAGTTTGCCTTGAAGCCTGTTTCTTTTCCCTGTCTAGTCACGACTCACTACTAGCAATTCATTTTAAACAACCAATCACTCACGACTTAGATTTTATGTCTACACGCAGATAGCTCTTATGTGCATTCTAGGATCCCGCTACTCATCTTTGGTACAATCTGCTTCCACTTAATTTATATTAGACCATAGCTTCTCAATAGGCCTTGGATATTTATGGTTCGCGCTGTACGCGATGGTGTGATTTACTGTTCAGCTGAATCGGGGGACTAAACAAAGCGGTTGTGTGGCATTTTTCACAACAATCTCAATGCCTACTGTAAATGCACTAGAAATCCTGCGAGGCTCAGAAACAGAGCACATCGATAATCGGGTATGTTGCCGCACTGCCTTTCCGGATCTTGCCTTAATTGCCTTTTTGGATTTCCTTCCTACCGCATCGACGCAGCAATGCGGCAGGTCTCTTACACACCTTAGCTATCTCAGAGATACGATGTCACATCATACCAGGTGAGATTACAAGGCTGCTGTGATAGTTAAGCTCCTTGCGTTTACGTTTCAAACTTTAGTGATTTCAGTCACCCTCCTCCGGCGTACCAGCAACATGCTTCAATGCCACAAATATCACATCACGACCATGCTTACTGCACCCCGCAAGGGCACACACATGATCATGATTGTCACAGGCATCATGTAAACTGCCAGTCCCCCATGCACATTGTAGTACCAATAATCCCCGATTCTAGGACCGTGTAAGCTTTCATTCTGTACCCAATTCTTTCAGTACTTGATAGAGGTGACTGCTAGAATTCATTCAAGGCATGATGTGCAGCGCACGAAATAAGGATGCAGCTATTGATACTTATCTTTAGGTACAATGAAGTCGACCCTCTCCTTCCAACAGGAAGACGACGGAACAATGACCCAGGATGTTGCTTCTTTACGATTCTCGGAGCCGTGATCATTTTTGGGGTGTTTGCCATCGGTTTCTTCTCATTTGTTCCCCTCAATGAGTTTGCTTGGACCAATATCGAATCTCATTCCTGCACCACTTATGCAACAAAGGAGTACGTAGCAGAGCTCAACGCGTCTCGTTGGAGCCGTCATAGGATGGAAATCTGCATGGCTACTCCGATGTTTGTTCATGGCCGGCCTCACTGGCCTTCCAGATGCGAAGATGTTGGTCGACCTTTGTCACTAGTCCTGATAATAAAGATTGACTTTGTATAGCGTTCAGGCACGGTGATGGGACATTTTGCCATCAACCATGACGAACCCGACTGCGTCACCTACTGGAGTGGATATAAGGACATGGTAAGCTGAAGATGTTATTTTTTACTCATACTAACCACTCGACCCTGTAGGGCTGTTCCGCTAGAGGCTCGAAGAAGAGAGTAAGAGTGGATGCACTATTTTCTGGGACTTAATTTGATCATTCTTGCAGCAAATTGAGCAACGTCTCGAGAACTTGCCATTCCTAGCAGACTATAAAGAGTTTTGTGCAACAACCCCTACTCGTTTCCTAGACCGGGAATTCACTGGCGCAGACTCGTGCGTGAATCATGTATGTGTATTTTGGCTTCCTTTATTTTTCAGTCAGCTGACATGCCGATAGATTTGGGGTGTCTACGGACAATGGTTCATCGACGACCATAGTTGTTGAAGCAAGCGTCGAGCATCGTTTCTCGTACCCAACAATTTTATCTCTATTTCTTATCCCGACATACATGTACCATTTACTGATCCAAACTATGCTTTAAGTACTTTTCATCGTAGCTTGTTGTACAGGATCGTTTTAAATGTAACGTCAGGAAGTGTACCAGCTAGGTGTCCTTTTTGTCACTTGCACGCTGAAACTTCGCCAAGTCAATTCTTCAAGAACTTCAAATATTTATGTACCGCCGTTTGTGTGTGAACTTACCTTCTGATGTCTAGCTAGGGTAGATTATGATGCAACGCAAGACGCATAATGGAACATGTATTAGGAGAACAAATCTCTATTCAGTAGGTTGCTTAGTCATCACGCATTTCCTGCTTCAGCAACGACGACTCGGACGACGTGCCCCAAACGTGCCCCAGCCTTCTCTTCGACGCTCTGTTGTGATCGACCACTATGGCATCAAATAAAAACAAACTTGCGTTCTTGTCGATGCCGGCTCCGGCATCATATGTCGCTGGTCTCGGTCGAGGGTTAGTGTCTCTCGTATATCAATGCATGCCCCGACCTAACGCAACGACAGCGCTTCTGGATTCACAACTCGTTCAGACATTGGACCTGCCAGAGAGGGTCCATCTGCAGAAGTTATTGCGTGCGTTCGAATATTTTTCCTTGGAAGATTTCACTCATCCTTTGTACAGCGAGGCCCAAGCTAGGCGTGGTGAGGAACCCGAAATTGATCCAGAACAATTCCAAGATCCCGACAATGAATATGGCCTATTTGCTGGCACAACTTATGAACAGGATGATGAGGAAGCTGACAAAATATATGATGATGTTGATCAGAAGATGGACTCACGGCGTCGGGCACGCAGGTGTGTGCTTTCTGGTTAGTTATATCATTCTATCGTGTTCAGCTGCTTCACTTTGTTTTTCTATCCAGGGAGGCGAGAGAGAACGCCGAGCTTGTAAAACATCGAGCTGAACGCCCCAAGATTCAGCAACAATTCGCTGACCTGAAGCGTGGTTTGTCCGTCGTCACCGACCAGGAGTGGGAAAGCATACCAGAAGTTGGTAATCTTACAAGGAAGAAGCGGCGAAAAGACGAAAGGACTTTCGCCGTTCCTGACAGCATCATCGTCGGTGACCGATCCAAGTCTGAATATGAGAATTCCTTGGACACTCGACAACAGCAAGCCAATGGCTTTGAGACTCCTGCAGACACTGGCACCATGACCAATTTCGTCGAAATCGGCCAAGCTCGTGATAAGATCTTGTCCTTGAAACTCGATCAAGTACGTCTTCTCTATTTATCATAGTACTTATTGCATCATACTCATTGTATCATAGATTTCTGGGACAGCCACTACATCTGGTTCTGCTACCTCTGTTGATCCCAAGGGATACCTCACATCACTCAATAGCGTTGTTCTCAAGACTGAAGCTGAAATCGGCGACATCAAGCGTGCCCGCATGCTGTTTGACTCGCTCGTCAAGTCAAATCCTAAACATGCTCCTGGTTGGATTGCAGCTGCATGTCTGGAGGAACACGCTGGACGTATGGTTGCTGCAAGGAAACTCATAAAAGCAGGTTGTGAACAGTGTCCAAAGAGCGATGACGTATGGCTTGAGGCAGCACGGCTACATGTACGTGAACCATGGCACGCTCTGTGTTGTTGCTGATATCCCTTTCAGAATAATGACGATGCAAAAGTCATTCTTGCCAATGCTGTTCAACATGTCGGTCAGAGCGTCAAGATCTGGCTTGCAGCAGCCGACCTTGAACAAGATGCTAAATCGAAGAAACGTGTCTTGCGTAAAGGTATACAATTTTCCATCCAGTCCACAGCGATTTACTTACATGACATACAGCACTCGAGAATATTCCCAACTCTGTTCGGTTATGGAAGGAAACTGTCAATCTCGAAGAATCAGCTACGGACGCCCGCATACTCCTCTCCCGCGCCGTGGAGGTGATACCACTTTCCGTCGAGCTCTGGCTCGCTCTTGCCCGTCTCGAAACCCCAGAGCGCGCCAAAGCTGTTCTCAACAAGGCCCGCAAGTCTGTTCCTACGTCGCACGAGATTTGGATTGCTGCTGGACGCCTGCTCGAGCAAGGGGCTACGGGCGACCCCGAGAAGACCACGGAAACCATAAACAAGGAGCTCGATCTGGTGGACAAGACAATCGAGCTTGGTGTCCGGCAGCTCCGGCAGCACCAAGTGTTACTCACGCGCGAGCAGTGGCTGAAGGAGGCAGAGCGGTGTGAGAGCGACGGCAGCCCGCGTACGTGCGAGGCAATCATTAAGGCTACAGTGAGTATGGAGGTCGAGGAAGAGGACAGGTTAGATACATGGGTTAGCGATGCAGAGAGTGCGGAGGCGAGGGGCATGGTTGGGACTGCGAGGGCCGTGCTTGCGTATGCGCTCAAAGTCTTTCCGGATCAGCGGAACCTCTGGAGAAAGGCTGCAGATTTGGAGAAAGCGCATGGCACTAAGTATGATATTTTTTTGCGAAATATATATCTTGTACTAAACTTTTTCTAGGGAATCGCTCGATGGAGTTCTCTCTCAGGCAGTGCACTATTGCCCGCAGGCAGAAGTTCTCTGGCTCATGTCAGCCAAAGAAAAGTGGCTGGCTGGAGACGTGCCAGCGGCACGCGAGGTCCTCGAAAAGGCTTTTATCGCTAATCCCGAAAGCGAACAAATTTGGCTTGCCGCGGTTAAGCTCGAGGCCGAAAATGGTGAACTGGGTGTCGCAAGGGAGCTACTCGTGCGTGCACGGACAGTTGCAGATACTGAGCGGGCGAGTATCTCATCCCAATACCCAATTCACGACCGATCTGACTGTAATCTTTCAGATCTGGATGAAATCTGCTGTATTCGAGCGTCAGCAAGGGCAGTACGCTGCAGCACTTGAAACTGTCTCCACCGCCCTATCTAAATTCCCTAAGTTTGCCAAACTGTACATGGTCCAAGGGCAGATCCGCCAGATGGAAAAGCAGTACTCCACTGCGCGTGCCTCATACGCTGCAGGCCTCAAGGCTTGCCCGAAGGAGATTACGTTATGGGTGCTTGCAAGCAAGCTGGAGGAGCTTGATGGAAAGAGCATTAAAGCTCGCGCATTGCTAGAGAAGGGACGGCTCGTCAATCCGGCAAACGAAATCTTGTGGGCAGAGTCTGTTGGTGTGGAAGAACGATCCGGTGGAGCTGCACAAGCAAAAGCGATGCTCGCCCGTGGCCTACAGGAATGCCCATCGTCCGGTCTTCTATGGTCGATGTCTATATGGGCTGAACCACGGCCGACCAGAAAAAGCCGCTCTGTTGATGCACTGAAAAAAAGCAAGGATAATCCACTGATCACATGTACAGTTGCGCGTTTGTTCTGGACGGAAAGGAAGATTGAGAAGGCGAGACAGTGGTTCTCGAGGAGTGTAGCTACAGAGCAGGATAAGGATATCGGAGATCATTGGGGATGGTGGCTTAAGTTCGAGCGCCAGCATGGCACTCCCGTGCGTCGATTGTCATGCACCTGAGATGCTTACTAATTGAGTTCTACAGGAATATATGGAGGAGGTAATTAGGCAGTGTGTTGCCGCTGAGCCGCATCACGGGCCTGTGTGGCAGGTCATAGCGAAGGATGACAAGAACGTTGGGAAGAGCACGAAGGAGCTACTCGCGATGGTTGCGGATGCATTGCAATGAAAGCTTTTTCGAGGACTTTTTGTGGATATAGTTGTTCCTCGTTATGCTCCAGGTCATATTATATGAGTATTTTTTACGGTTTTTGTACTAGTCAGAGCTCGAAGAAAATAACTAGTACCGATAGTCTATCGATGACCACCTAACTTGCGGGATGGTAAGCAGCCACGGAAGTTACTACTACGATATAAAGTACGGTCGACATCATTATGTATAGTACACGAATGCTGGATAAGAGATAATCGATAGAGATAGAGATCAATCATTGCTGGGTACAAAGAAACAATGTTCTTTACTTGCTTCGACAATCGATGATGGGCCACCAGAAAGAGACGATGGTAAAACTTCCTCGGAGAATCTTATGAACGGACTGCAAGTTATGCTCCTCGGCAATACACTTTGGGAAAGTCTATTGATGAGGAGCTCTATGGTGCGAGAGGCGAGGGGGTTGGTTGGGATGTCGCATCATTAAATGTCATAGTTGACGAATAATTTACCTCTTCCGAGTTTCGCTTGGTTTTGCTACGACACAACCTATAGGTTCTGCCGGAAGAACTGCTTCGGCCCACATGTTACCGGGACATTCCGTAAGGGAGCTTACAGTGACGTCCCCTATATGATCCGGATCATCGAATCATTGTGTAGAATCGATGTCATGTCGGAGATATCGTTGTTTCGTCAAATTCTCGCAGCTGGCCAGACGAAGGGGAATCCCTGTGGAATCAAATTCTGGTGACACAACAAGCCGCGCAGCGGCAATCACTTCTATCCTATATCAACGTACTTAACGTTTTGGCTTCGTGCCCGTGCCCCAACTTCTATCAAGACCAGCCTAAACAGGCCTGTGTTATCGTGCTTTGATGATTCTCGTGTATTTCTATGGGTCCGCGTTCGACGATAAGCCGCTCACTTAGAACTTATTTCTTCTGATGCAAATGAAACCCATGAAGCTGTACATCAGGGCACCGGCCAGTGCAGCGAGCTGTGATCCGAATAATCCGAGTCAATGGAAGGAGAAAACAGGAACCATAGTCAACTCACCCCAGAGAATAGAGCGGATTTCCACCAAGTATAATTTGATGTAAGCAAAATACCGGATATGGGGGTTCCTAGATAAACAGTCAGAGGTTGAAACGAGAAATATCACGAGTGCACCTACCAATCAAACTTCCAAATCCTGTAGCGAACGTATGCAAATTAAATTCAATAGAATCTATAAGTGAATCTGATCCTACTCACCACCAACGAAGAAACAAATGCCCATCCACCCACTGTGGCGAGATCAGATGGTTTGCGCAGACCAAACTTAATTTATCACTCACCCAAGCTCAGAGGGGTCGGGCGTTAGGACAGCCACGAGTGGACCCACCATTGCGTTATCTGTATGATCGATCAACACATCTTCAACTATATAGTGAAACGGAAAACTACTCACACACACCCGAAGAATAGCCGTAAAGTACACCAAGAATAACGACGCTGGTCAGGCTACTTAATCCAATAGTGCCCAAAATCACCGCTCCGCACATAATTGCCGAAATCACGGTTAAGTTTGGGACTCCTATATACGCTGCAATGTACCCTGATGTAACTCGTCCCACACAGCTGGACACATTTAAAATCACGAGCTAGTGAACGTAGAGTCAGCAGGAGAACCACTTTTTGCATAATGCTAGATCCCACAGAGTAAAACGAAAAGTCGATGCCGATACCGTGCTTGACAGAGTCGAGTTGAAGAAAGAATAAAGGGTAGTAGAAGCCAATCTGGACAAGAAAGGCCCTGCATATAAATTAGTCGGTTGGACAAATTCGAGAGAGACTGTGACTTACCCTGCTAGAGCGAAAATAAACGGAACATCATGAAAACATTTTTTAGCTGCTGCAATGTAATTCACTGGTGTCGTCGGTGGATCAAGGCGGGTTCGCATACACAAGCATGCAATTAAAAGCAGCGCGCTGACCATCCCTGCACTTGCACGTACGGTATTGGCAAAACCGAGCTGCCCATTCAGGAGGTTATTAAGCATAATCGGATGGATGATAGCACCCAGCGATGAACCCGGAATAACGAGCGTCATCACCAGCGTGCGTTTCCGTTTGAAATAATGAGAGACGACAGCCAGGCTCGGGACGTACAGGAGCCCCAACGCGACACCAGAGCATAAGCCTTGAGTAAGGAATATCTATATAGTGTCAGAAAACGAAAACGTCAGAAAGCCGAGGGATGTTACCTGGTAGTACTGATTAGGCTTCGCCAATGATAGCATGAAGATAGATAAGCTCTGCAAAAGTGATCCGGTGATGACAAGATGATAACTAGTTTAGCCTGCTGAGTATCGTCTCCGACATACTTATACTTGTACCCACAAATAACCTCGGTCATACAGTAAACCTGCTACAAGGCTTACAGCGGTGCCCAAAAATGCATTGAAGCTCCCAATTGATCTGCGAAAGAACTCGATAATACCAACAATAGAGGAGCTAGGACAACTCACGAAATAGCAAATTGTGTCTTATTTGTGAGGTAATGCTGAGTATAGAAGTCTGGATGGCAAGTCGTATGAATAAAGTCACATCCTCACTTTCATATGCGGCAATACCTTGGTATACACCAAAGGAGGTGGTGTAACTTTTAACTTTCAGAGAGCCATTCTTCACCAATAGTAGAGTGAAATACTCACCCCCAACCGCAGAACAATATAAGAAACCTAAACAAATCAAGTAAGAGTCAGCTTGCCGTCTTTTGCAAAATCGAGTCTTCTTACGACCCAAAGGCAGTGGACCAAGCTGCAAGACCGCCTTCAGGAAATTCATCTAACTGTGAAGGAAGGACGGAGTCCTTGGAGACTGATGATTCAACATCAGGGACCTTTGATTCTTCATTGTCCGAGCCTTGGGTAGCCTGAGGTTCTGTAGAAAGCATTTGAGGTTTGGTTTCGACCGCTATCTGTCGACTGAGACAGGTGACGCCGTTGTACGGAGCAATAGGTACGTGATCACACAGCACTTACGGTGGTCATTTAAGTATGTGTGATTCACCGCACTTGAGATCTGACACATCTATCAAGAATTCACAAGCCAGCAAGAACACTTGAAGGCGCGACATCATTATGACCAAGACAATCACCTAGAAACACACCCACAGTCGCACATCGGCGGATGACAATGCAATATTATGATTGGCAGACGGACGCGTAATCAACGGGGATAACAAGCAGAAGGACGAGAACTTCCACAAGGAGACAGCGGACTTCGTGACCACTCTCCTGTGTTGCTCCAAAGAGACAGACAGTCTTGCGCGAACGGAAATTAATCTTGCGCAGTCCATCCAGTTTCCCAAAGCTGACTCCGAGGGAAGTCGAGCATAATCATCTTTGGCCGAGTAAGTTGATATACATATAGCCTATCATGCAAGACTCACTCCATCAGAATACCTTAGCTATCACTTCTTCCCTGAGGCAGACCCGGACTGTGATCTGACTCTGGGAACGATGAGTAAGGCCTTGAGTAGCGAAGATACTGTTCCGCGGAGAACATGATTCACACACCGTAGGTACGTGTTTCAAGTTTCAACTTAGTCAGCGCACGGAACGCTGGATAAATGCATTAATAATATGGTTCCCTGCGATGTGCATGTGAACTTCTTACCGATTTCCCGGATCAAGATATGTACTATGGAATAAACTGGCGTATTGACGGTGCACAGGATGCGTCAGAATAAAGTTGAAGTTCTAAAATTTGGAGTATATTCTAGACTCGGAGATAATTGACATACATGGTAGAATTATTTTGGCGCTTTGAGTTCGCTATTGCAACATGCACTCTTGCACCGTACTGAGCGGGTCGGAGAGAGTCGGGGGCTGGTGCGTTGAGTGCTGCTACGATTGTATAGCAAACCGGTTTGTTAGTTGAGGTCTTTCTGCTTCAACATACCACCCATTCACCTGCAGCATTGTATCGCTCCCAGCTCTGTTCTCCTAGTACGTCATTTATTTTCGTGCCACCGGAGGACACAGTGTTTCTACCGCCGGTGGCGAGCCAACAGTAAGCCGTGTGAAGCCTATGGGCTAGCCTCGGGCTACAGCCAGTGGCAGTGTTCTGGCGATGGCAGAATACCTAAAATAGAAGATGGCTCCCATTTGCCGTAGATCAGTCTTATCGCAAATATCAATGTAATATCAATGTGCGATATCACCTCCATGCAACATCAAGTCATCAAGTCGTGTCCCACCCACTCCCAGCTTTGAGAATGAGCAACAAAGAGCCCAAAGACTGGTGGTGGGGACATTCTGATACCCACCCAGATTTCGAGAAGAAACTCCCTGCGGCCTATGCAAATGAGAAAGAGGGACGACCGAAAGTGATGTGTGGAGCGTGCAAGATTAAAAAGACGATCGATGAGCAGCAGAAGGAGCAGCGCCGAGGCCTGCGATTAAATGATGTGAGAACACATGATCAAATTATCGCATAAGTCTATTACTACTTTTCTCGTCACTCATAACACTGCAAATTGCAGCGAAAACGTCCCGACCCTCTCAAGATGTACGAGGGCATACGTGTTCGACAGCCCAGCTGGGCCTGCAAGATATTAAGATGTGAGTCTGGAAGAACGCCGCAAAAAAAAATTAGCCGCCAAAAATTCTTAAATAAACAGGTATGTCTTCGTTCGTGAGCCGATCGGGGTGGATCTGGCACAATCCGAAGATTCCGAACAGATGCTGTCCGAGTAACGTCGGGATATCCGGAGAAAGGTACGAGAGTAACGTACGCGCTGAATAAACAGCCTTCTTATGCAGCTCTAAACGCGTCAACCTCGAGCGCGAGCAATGAGTAGGGCAGATGTGCAAGGGTTACGATGCTGACTGATGAATCAGGATGGGACTATGTTGTGGTTCGAAACATGTAGAGAAAGATGGGCTTGGGATGAATTTATCCTACGACTCAGGACACAGATTAGTTCATGGTGGTAACGTAAGGATGATGAGATGCTGTCCTAACGTCCCTGACCGCATAGCCTGGTGAACAGGTAGACTGTAAGTATTAGTACTTGATGCTTGATGTCGGCTTGATCAAGGCCGAGTGAACTGAAGTTGCAACGTTGAAGCTTGATTCAAGTCTAGGACGAGAGCAACGGAGAATTAAAACTCCGCCGTACTACAATTTTACCACTTACCGCAATAGTACTTGCAAACACATCTTACTGCACATATATGACAGCAAATCCAAGACACATTTCTGACATATTTATTCACAAATGACTGATACTACTTGGGTACTTGGTGGTATTGAAGGTGTGTGAAAATTTTCAAGATTTCTAGGTTTATGACATGTTCACAGCTGACTAATAGTTGAATTGCCGGCGAAGAAGAGGCTAACATCTTTTGTACAACAGGCAGCGTAGACTTCCCCAAGTTCTCTCAATTTGTTCATAATTGTGCGGCTGGGGTTATTAAATTGCTGTATACCGGCGCGTACGTTGAACGGCGATGGCTCAAAGGTACTTCACTACTACTAAGGAAAATTAGAACACTGAAGAATTTGTTACGAATAACAGGGATGATATTCTGACTCTTTCCACGGGTAGTCTCCATCAACAGGATCACGCTATGCCTGAAACGCTAGTTATGGTAACGATAAGCCATTCTTGAAATCCGCGGTGCTTTACCTAGCTCCTTCAACACAGCTGCTCTTGTGCCTGGTGATAGTGGGATCATGGCGGAATTCTGGCATCGGAGCTGTGTATGAGTTTGTAAGTTGTGACGGGACGTCGGATATATTCACTGAAAAGTATCGTTTGCCTTGGCTGCAGGATGTCAGAATCAAAACAAGGCATGCGGCTGTAGGTTCGACGCAAGCCCTCTATGAAGGTCTTAATCACAGCGTTTAAGTTCCCACCTGTGGCCCGTCCCTTAACAGCCTTGGATTCTCGCAGCTGTCACAACAATTTTGACAAGGAGCAGCAAAAAGATTCTGAAACTTCGTGAAGTGTTTTAATTCGATGAGCCGGACCCAACTTTCCGGAGCAAAGACATGGTCCATTCATGCGGTGTTCCAATTCTCTTTTGGTGCTCTAGCGCTGCGATAAGGAGTCGCTGGGTTCACTGGCTGAAACTTGTAGGACCAGTCGCCTCCAGTCCCTCGGTAGCTGCAGATTATTTACCCAGCCTCCCGCTGAGGTCTTGGATAGGGTCGATCTCATGTTCCGATTCTCTTCTGGTAATGCTGCGGATAGAGTGTTCGTGCCTCATGATCCGTTTCGTCGCCCCTTCGCCCATTTGTCCCGATTTTTTTTGGTGCAAGGTTAGGTTATCGTGGTAATGTGAACTCGCCTCCGCCATCGAAAATTCAGTATTTTATCCCACCAGATATTCCTAGCTAGTCAGTTGATCTTCCCCCCTGAAGCTCAGTTTTACCGGTTTTCATTGTTCGAAACTTAAGCCTACGACCTGTCTCTTTCATACAACCTCCTTCGCAGAAATGGCCATTCAACCAGTTGTGAGCGGCCGATATCTGTTCTTTTTACTATGAAGGCTGAAAACCTAGCTAGCCAACCTCGACTCAAATACTTGTTGTTGGTGGCGGACCCGCCGGAAGTTACGCTGCTGCGGCCTTGGCTCGAGAAGGTTTTGAAGTCACTCTTCTCGAAGCTGCGAAGTTCCCTCGGTCAGTCCATATGATGTATACCGTCCGTATACGCAGTCGCCAATATACGATTGTGCTAGTTATCACATTGGCGAGAGCTTGCTCCCGTCGGTCCGCCGTTTCTTGGCATTTATTGGTGCGGAGGAATTGGTCATGAACCACGGGTTCACAGTTAAGGTGCGGAATAGTCTTCGCTGCGTCAGAGTACATTAGACGGTGACCCTCTCGTTTCATAGCCTGGTGCTGCAGTCAAGCTGAACCAGTACAAGCGGGAAGGCTGTGAGCCCCACTCGCCATTACACGTTGTTGCAACAATATTGATCATTTGCTCCAGATACAGATTTTATAGCAATGAACCCAGCCAATGGGTGTTGGAACGTGGTCCGTACTATTTTGAAGATATGCTTACTGCCTCACCATTTTGACCATTTTGCAGATTCGATCAGAATTTGACGATTTGTTATTGCGCCATGCTTCAAAATGTGGCGCGATCGTATTCGATAACACAAGAGTCACTGAACTTCAGTTCGAGGGTGACAGACCTGTCTCAGCCAACTGGAGGAATACCAGCACCGGAATAGAGGGCCATATCTCTTTCGACTATCTAGTCGATGCGTCGGGAAGGAATGGGATCATGTCCACAAAGTACCTCAAGAACAGACGCTATAATCAAGCCCTCAACAACGTTGCATGCTGGGGATACTGGGATGGAACTAACTCTTACATGCCGGGTACTACTCGCGACAATGCTGTTTGGATTGAAGCACTTGAAGGTATGAAAGCAAGTCGAAGTCGTCATGCTAAGCCTAATTTCTGCAGACGAGTCTGGATGGGCTTGGTTCATCCCTCTTCACGATGGATCCACATCTGTGGGAATCGTGATTGATCAAGAGTCAAGCAACCGCAAGAAGAAGGCTTCCCGTGCGGCATCGGGAGGATCTGGGTCAAATCTTCTGGCTCATTACAAGGAAGAATTAAGGAGAGCTCCTGGAGCCATCAAATTGATCGGAAAGGGCACTCTTCGAAACGATGGCACATCGGAAGCTGTGAAATCTGCGAGCGATTTCAGCTACTCTGCTTCTTCCTATGCTGGGAATCATTTCCGCGTGGCGGGGGATTCTGGAGGTATATCACTTGCTTTTTTGTGATATTCGCAATTGACAATTTGCAAGCATTCATCGACCCATTCTTCTCATCTGGAGTCCATTTGGCTTTCACAGGAGGACTTTCGGCTGCTCTTACAATTGCTGCGTCGATTCGAGGACTAACCAGCGAAGAGGATGCCCAACGTTGGCACACCTCAAAGATTGGCAGCTCTTACACGAGGCATGTGAACTCAGTCACTAGAGTGATACCAACTAATGTGATGAATGCCATAGGTTCCTTCTCGTCGTCCTTGGGACCTATAAACAGATTCGCAGTCAGGCCATGCCAGTCATGAGCGATGTGGATGAGGACAATTTTGACAAAGCCTTTGATATCCTCAGACCGGGTGAGAATCGATGTCCTCTTCTATCACTGCCAATTCTGATCACCCGAATACAGTGATACAAGGAACAGCAGATGTTGGTAAGACTTTAACAGAAGATGAACTCCAGGTATTCCGGATATTATGTGATTAATCTCCATGTCATCCTCAATTCGCCTGACAGAAAACTATGGACTTCTGTCGTCATATCTTTGCACCGACTGATCCAGAGATGCACTCTGCAGTCAAATCTAGGTAAGAGTTACTCGTTTACTCTACCAGATTATCCCATACTAAATGCAATAGATTGGATCCTACTCTAACCTCCCCAGACGCCCCAATCATGATAGAGGGCGACATTGATCGTTTGCTCGGAAATACCGATGAAGAAGCTAAGATCGTTTTGAGTGAGATCAACGCGCGAAAGCCCATTCATACGATGTACAACCCCACGGAGTATTTTGCCGCGGAGGAACATTTTGGTTTCAAAGCTGTCTTAGAACGAGGCAAATTGGGTTTGGTGACAGCGTAGTAGGCGTTGCTAGTGCTAGTAATGCGAAGTCATGATTCGGCGATAATAAACACAGTAGGTAGTACCTGGTGTATTTCCTATAATATCAGATACTTCTTAGAACTTGTTCATTACCGTGACGTTGTTTGCCAAGGTCACTGCACTCCAGCTGACAATTCACATCAAAGTTGATAATTGCGTTTTATGTAACACTAAAGCGTCTTCTGCGCTACGGCGACTACGCCGCTTGTGCCTTGTGGTATATTCTCGAGAAGACTCGTGACCCTGCTACAATCTTCCACCATTCCTCCGCACCCGTATCAACTTGAAGGGCTGCTAGTTTCGCACATTCCTCTCAGCGCGGATAGGCTCGTAAGGATGTATCAACTAATTTTTTTCAATTCAGTCTCGAGGTAACTGAATTCTGCCACGGCCGCGTGTCCACGGCTTCGCGACAGTACGACATAGACATTGAATGGGGTGAGCCCTGCAGAGGGTGAGGTTGCGATGTCTATGGCTGACTTGCCAATGGTCTGCCCCTGTGATCTGTAGTCCGTAAAGGAATATGCTGCAGCAATAGGCAATTGTCACCTGCTGGTGAATTTCATTTCGCGGCCTCGAACAACTGCCAGTGAGAATGTATTCTAATAGGACCAGCGGTAAGACATTCTTTGTGGCAAGCCCCTCGAGTTGAAGTGGCTTAAAAACCACTCAGAGTACTACTCGTGCAGGAGGATATGCCTTGGATCTGATTGTGAGAATGCCTCTTCTCCTTTGTTTAAGGACAATCTTGATACTGTCTCCTCGGGTGTCGTTCGTAACTTTAAGGTCAGTAAGAAGGTCACCATCACTTTCATCTGTGTATACAGCTTTGAGTATGTGACCGACTCCTGTTTTCTGATAAAAGTTTCCGTATTCTACCGAACGACAGAACAAAGGGGAAACCCCAGACTTGTGCGTGCTTAGTCATACAATCAATTTCAATGTTGCTTGTGACATCAAACCCTACGGTACCCAGAATCCAGTATTGCCACTAGTGTTTATGCCATCCACACGCTCTCGCTAACTCGTATTGTATCTTACTGTACAAATTTGTACTCCTACTCTACTCCGTATTTCCATCGTGACTGATGAAAGCTAATAGTGCTAGTGATCATTCAAGCAGTACGATGAACCGTAAACAAGAACCCTGCCGACGAAGTTCAATCCTTTCCTCTATGATTCCGTGATGCAACTTACACATCGGGGTCGATATTAATGAAGGTGTTGCATTCCAACTTGTGACGATGCTATTTGTTCCGCATTTCCGACGATGAATGCGACGATATCGTGTGGTCATTAATCCTTCCGGGAGAATCAAAAAGATTCAGTCGGAAGAGAACATGGGGAGATTAGTGACGTGCTCCATATGGTATAAGTGATTGTAGCAAGAGGTAGTAGTACTAGTTTTGGTTACTTCATTGGGCGTTTTCTGCTACATGGTTCCGGACTAAAATTTGAAGCTTCTGAAGCGTTACGTGAGTTACTAACCCCATCACTGCGTGTTGTCCAAAAATTCCGACGGCTTAGAGATGGCTGAGAATCTGGGGGTACCTAAGGTTTCAGCCACGTCGAAGCCATCAAATATTAGCCAACTTTTACGATGTCGGAAATTTGACCCTTTAAATTACCACTGGTGTCAACAATGGCTCGAACTTAGAGTCACTCTCACCTGCGTACTATCTACGTTTTAGCTACATCCACCTGGACTCAGTTGTACATAACCTGCAGCTAACATATATATACGAATTATGAATGAAGCTGTGCCGCACGGTAAGTGTTCAGATCAAGATGCACGGAGTTTAAATTTACCTTGTTCTTGACGCTCGACAACTGTTGGGGATGACTGCTATATCATGTTTCAAGTCCACACCTGTTCTCACTTATCACGGTTAGAATAATGCAGTATCTGACTGGGCACCCGACTGCACCGACGAGGGTACTCTCCAACGAAGACTAGCAGTAAGACCTACCCACCTCGAGAATATCAAGATAAAAGCCTGCTTGCTGAGACTCTAACTACAGAACTCGAGCTCTTCAATCCACACTCAATCTCAACTACTTGTCACCCCGACCCTTCGTCAGTAATTTGACTTTCCAGTTGTGAGTGTCCGTGAACTTGCTTTGCACAAAAATTTCACCCAACGTTCCGCAGCAACGACCTTGGCAAGGAGGTCACGATTATGCTCGCCTGGAGTCCCAATCTGGGCGGTCTCTATGAGGACTTCTTTCTGATAGTTTGGAGGTAAGTGCGTATACTTCTGTTAGGCATTATTCAAAACCTTGCAATTGTTTCAGGGTCAGCAAATTCGGGAAGTCGGGTGGGTGTTCCTATTCTCTTGCTGCCAAGTTGCCGACTTACATATGAGCCCTCTTTCCAGGTCCATACTGGGCTACTGAAACTCACACAACCCAGTAAGTAATGACAAGATCAATAGTCTTGAAAGTCGCTTATATATGGTATAGGCTTGCCGCTTGCTTGCTCCAGGGCCCAGGTCGAGAGTGGGAAGGTCATCAGCGCCGCGACCTCCGTCAATATCAATGTGAGCAACTCTCTTCTACTCTGAAATTGCTAGCACCAACGCGAGCCATAATGTAGAACAGCGAGAAAACAACCTTGACAAAAGCCAACAACGTCTATCATTTCTCTGTAAGTCTGGCTTTGTTGATTTTTATCTTGACCCCCAATGAATACCTCGTGTAGCCTCTCCCTCGCCAGTGCGTGCGTGCATACATCTATGTAGCATATAGTCAGGCTGCCAGAGGTGTAGCGAGCGGGTGGCATCATCATTGTATTTCATATAGCTACCATGTATTCGCAATTTAAATGGAATATTAATGCATATTCACAATATTTAAAATCATTATTAAATAAAGTGTACACCATATGTGGTTTATTATATATATATGTATGGTGTCGTTTTGGACCCATGGTAGCAGCCGGCTCGAACTTGATGGCCAAACGATGTCTTCGAGGTGATTGAAATCCGGAAAATCAACCGTCTGGAAGCCGGTTCATACCATAGGTCCAGAAACGGCTAAAACTTGACCCTGGGGTCACATTCCAGCCAGGTATCTACCGTCGGAAATTTTGACAACACGCAGTGCATTCACAACTCAGAATGTCAGAGATTTAGCCGTCTGAGACACGAGGGCAGCCAACGGCACTCCGACTCGGAGCAGAGTATACTGTAGAGATACGACACTAGGTTCGTCACGTGCAGCCCGTGACGATGTCACGCTTAGTCTTACAGGTTCGAATGTCCAGGTGACCTGTGACCTTACCCAAATAGATTCGCCTGCGGATCGTAGTGCTTCGCCGCTCGCAACGCCGTTTGCAACCATCTGACATGCTGCTTCGTGATTCAAGCAACTTGCTTCAGTCTGTCATGGATTCGCCTCGCATAGCGCTGACTGGTAACGAGTGGAATTTGTTCAGAAGAATGATCCAGCTGGATGGACGAGGATTGCTACTGCTCAGTACAAGACTGTCAGCGTTGACCAGGCAACAAACTCCGAGTCAGAGAACGAGGCCACTGATACTACCGGAGCCGAATCCCCCTTCGACGATGCTAGCGAGCATGACCTCGATGCCAGTGACGTGCCAATGGATGCACTCCTTGATCATATGGCTTCCGGGGGTGAACACGTCCGTTCTGACTGCCGTATCGATGCAGATGGCGGACTTCTGTGTTCAAACCACTCCGAAGTCTATGATGTGGGTGACATTACTGCCAAAGATGTGGAGAGTGGCTCGAATAGTGTTCTGAAGGTTGATTACGGGCGTGGAAAGCGTAGACGCATCGCAAATTCGATGTATGATGATTTCTGGTCCCATTAGCGCATAACCTATGTTTTTTTTCCCATATGTCACAAATTAGCTTCGTCCCACCAAAAATTCATGTGACAGTCACACCAAATAGATTCGATTCGTTAAGGGCTGTGACCTGTGACGAACCTAGTGTCGTATCTCTACAGTAAACTCCACTTGATGTTTTGAACCAATCAACCCCGCCAACGTGCCCGCTAGCTTTCCGTTTTCTGTCCGCTCCCTGCGCACCTGGTAATAACCGCCAAGATTGTCTTCATCGCAACAGAGACGGACCGTCACGGACACTCCGCTTGGAAGTGCTGACTCGGGTCTTCGCCGAAGCAATCTCGGGGACAGTACTAAGTAGTAACCAAACAAATCTTGTCGCAACGCACGACTTGTCTGTACTAGCAACCGTATTCTCAGGATGTCGTATAGCTTCCTTACCTTGGCCGCCCTGTTTTCAATGCTCCCTCCAATGATGAGAAGGTCAAAAGTAAGTAGAGGACATGAAAGTACCATACTATCGACAAGGAGATGGTAGAGTCTGTATCAACGACTCGAGGAGGAGGACATGCATCACTGTCAGGACCTGCATACGGCTCGTGCAGCGGCAACAAGAAAGAGTAGAACTGTCAAGTTACATATCCATACCATCAGATCCAAATATGCGACGAGCACGAGAATCTGAATCATAGGTAAATATGCCTCTGCCATCCAAATTCGAAACACGAGTCTTTCAAAGCAAACCGATTACTTCCTCTGGACTAGTTCCTCAGGCGGAAACCCCTCCTGACTGACGGATTCGCCTGGCTTGTGCTTCCGTATATAGATCATTTAGCAGTTGAATTTCGTCGATGACCTTTGAAGGCTGATTGCCTTTGGCCACAGCTCGTAGACAGCTACTAGAGACGATGTAAACCTTTTGATCAGGTAGATTCGCCTCCGCAAGATTTGCCTTCACATTGTGGCGAGTTTCGTTGACAAGTTGCTCTCTCGCAGCCATGTACAAGGTTGCCTGTTGCGACCGATCGGCGTTTTCATCATCGCTCTCGTATCTCATCTCCCTTATCATATTTGAAATATGTTGGTCTGCTTTTGAACGAACGATGTAAGTGGGGATTTTGAAGCGCCTGCAATTGCGGAGAATAGCGATGTCGGTCTGGGTGAACCGATTGTCGAACAAGACGACAATGCAATCAAAGACGTAAAGTCCCTGAGCGTTGAAATATTGCCAATCCGGGATCCTGATTGTCCCTGCTCCAGGAAGATCGTACCAGACATGTTGACACCGCTCGTCAGGGTCTGCATATCTTCCCATCGTCAGGGTGGTCTCTATGACCCCTGTCCGAGCGGAACCAGCTGCGCGGTTACTGATGCCGCGGAATGCGTTTACGAGTGATGACTTCCCTCCACCGGCCCTCCCAGCAACAGCGAAATGGAATAAATTCTCCTGATACTGAATTTTTGCTTGGGCAGCGAGAATTTCTTGAGGAGTAGGCGTTAATACAGGCTGGATGCCCTCTCTAAGCCGCCTTTCAGCATCTTCCTTGGCAGCTGCAGCCTCGCGAACATTGTTCTCAGCTACCTTTCTTACCGCCTCTGATTCTGCGACGGCTTCGGCGGCTTTCTTCTTTTCTTCTTCGGCTGCTCTCTGAAGACGTTCGGCGTCTTGCTTAGAAACCTCAGCCGCTCTCTGAGCATTTTCGAAGGCAGCTTGGGTGCGCTGCCTCTCCGCCTCAGCTTCTTGGGCCCTCTTCTTGGACTCCTCCGTTGCAAGTCGTGCAGCGCTTTCTGCAGCGAAACGGGCCGCATCTGCAGCTCTCACGGCGTCAAACATAGCCCTCATTTGCTCCTGATTTTTCTGCTGCGCGGCTGCCGCAGCCGACATGGCCTCTTGCTGGAACTGAAGTGTCCTACTTTGCATTGATTGCATTGATTGCGTGAGCTGCCCCACCTCCGCCCTCATACTGTCAAGGTCCCGAATGGCCCTATCCCGTTCTCTCTCAGCGTACCGGCGGGCTTCGATTTGAGCATAAGTTGGATTGGGAGCACTGTCACCGCTGAAACCGAACAACTTCGATACTGCCCAGGCGGCGCCCATCCCTACAGGTATGAGCCATGCCATTATCCTGCTTGCGCAAAGTGATCAGCATTCGAACAATCAAAAGAAAAGTCCGTACAATAGTGTGCGATCACTGCAAGAGATGAGAACAATCTACGAATGATTCGATGGGCTACCTTGAAAGGCTGGTGGATGACTCGTGCCGGCATTATATAGTTCAAATCCGCCAGATACTCAGCTCCATGTTGGCCTCGCGGCGGCGTAGCCACAGCTCGAATCAGTAACCCTTCACCTTGGGTTATGGGGTGCTTGACCACACTGCACGCACGTTTTAGAAGGATACTCATGTGGCATGATCGTCGCAAAGCTAAAGCGGAACAGGGCCTTCTGCAGATGCAGTGATGATTATATTAAGAATGCTTCTGGACGGCGTGTTTGGGGGTGCAGTCGGAGAAAGAGTTGAGGCTTGACTTTATTGTACACGCGCAGTGGAGAGGGCGCAATGCCTATCAGTTGAATGACGACCAACAACTTGAAGGGGTGAGTGCATAACTTGCGGTGGTTTTGATTGATGAGTGCTTTTTCCCCGTTCTTCGCCCCAAGACAGTAGATGGTTGACGGAGTCCATAGAGTGCTTCCACAATTAGCAGGCACGAGAATTAAGCATGTTTGCCGCTTTAGAGACATTGTTAGAGCTGTTAGCAAGCTGTTGCCGGCACGTACTGTGTCACATGATGGTACGTCTGTGTTGTTGCGCACGTGACGATCACCTCTTTTGTGGCTTTCGTAGTTAGCCTTATAACGTTCGAGGTACTTGAGTACCTGAAGCTCATGTGAGCGTAGATCGGCGGCCAATCAAAAATTCATTCATTCATTCGAACTCAAAGTACAAGTGGCACCGGCCGAGTGACTTCTTCTCGAATGCTGTTTTCATTCAACTGTGACTCTGTAGCTAATCACTTGCAGCACGCTAGAGACTTGCCTGTGTTCAGGTCAGCCAGGGTCAGCCAAGCCGGTCTGAATCTTTATTTCGATCGTCATACCAAGGACCCCTCTACTATGCTAGAGGGGCTGACCGCGGTCGCTCTTGGCTAAATCCAAGTCAGACTCCTCTCAAGTCGCCGTTCATATCATAACCAGCACACCACCTCCACGCAGAGCGTGTCATCCACTCCTTTCGCAGTCAATTTTGCTGTCCTCCTAGCATCGCAATTTTAGTATTTCGGTTCCGTTGCTTGCCATGATGACTCCACAAACCGCCCCTGTCACTCGCGCTATCCATGATCGCATACGGTGTCAGCCTGTTTCCAGCGGTACGACCCTCTGTATTGGGGACATCGTTACAATCATTGGTGAGTCATTCTCTGCAATGAAATAGAAACTTCATCATACGTGTATTTTAGTGATCAGTATTGTCTTTATCCTCGCACTCTCGTGTATTTTCTGGACATGGCGGATAGTCCATCGTCATGCTATCGCTGATCAGGAACAAGGTAAGGGCTTATTAGAGATTAGTATACTTTAACTCGAGGGGCTAAGCCTTACTCACACCTTTTAATAGCTTCATCCAATCGCGATCCCTACAATGTAGTCTCCCCTTCACTGGATAGCTCCGTTCTCGTGAGAAAGGGTGTCGTGCGCGAACCGTACAAGCCGGTGCAGGCCAAAACAGCTGGGCCTGACGTCTTCTGGTCACCGCAGGCCCAGCTGCCTGAACTCAAGTTTCATCTCGATCCTCTACCCACCATGGAAGAAATGACAGAGATGAGAAACAACTTTTCCATTCGCCCATTTTCTTGCCACTTTCCATCGTCACCCTCTCCCCGTTCCAGCTTGGTATCTTTGAACCCGCCTCTGTTACAGTCACAGTCCTTCGGGGGTGCGGCACACCTACC